AGTCCACCCATCTTAAAGTTGAAAAGTTGAGAAACACTGCTTTAAAGAGTACATGTTCTGAAGATTTCAGACATCATCTAAATTGCAGTGTTTTTGCAAGCCCCGCAGTGCAGAGGGTTAAAAGAGAGCCAAGGAGCGTGTGCATCTGGGTTGAGAACGGCTTCCTTTGCCCACTTGGGCTCTTGTCTCCGTCTCTCAGCTTGGAGTTTCTGAAGATGGAGGCATAGGCGCAATGGGGCATAGGCGGTATCCTGCTCTCCTACCCCCCAGCATCTGTGTCAGATCATCAGTGGCCAGTGGTTCTGGCCTCTTCGGCCTTCCCACGGCTGCCGCCCTGGCAGAGGTGTTCAGACGCCACAGCAAGATCTGCTTGGCAAGCAAGGTTTGGTGGTTTTGCAGGCCACGAAGCTTAGATTACACGGGATCTGAGGCTGCAGCAACGCAGGGAGGCTGGTGAAGGTGGCCGTGGCTGAACGTCTGGTGCTTCTGCCTGGGGCCCCAAGGGAGATTTTGCAGCCCCTTGGCTGCTCTGTCAAGTGCAGGGTTGACCCCTTCAGTGGGGTAAGGGCAGAACCTGCTCCCCCTGAACAGAGTCAAAGGAACAGCCTAGTTTTATAGAGGGCGCGGGGCTGTAGAAGCAGGTGGGAACGCTGCGGGTGCCATCTGGGCAAAAAATAGAATATTTGGCTGACTTGGGCTCAAGAGTCAGTTCCTCAGAAATCTTCCTCTGTCCTGATAGTTGCATCCATATAGACGCCTGCAACCAAGTTTTTTCAGGTAGTCAAAGAGCTGTTACTTTCCGGCCACTCAAGAGAGGCTCACGGAGTTGCCCAGGATCTTAGAGGTCACCTAGTCCAGCCCTCTGCTCAGGGCAGCATCCACTAGAACACTGTTTCTCAACCTTGGCAGCTGAGACGTGTGGGCTTCAACTCTGGGAGTTGAAGTCCACCCATCTTAAAGTCGCCATGGTTGAGAAACACTGCACTAGAGCGTCTCTGAGAGATGGTCATCGAGCCTCTGAAGATCTCCAGACCATCATGACTAAGTTGCTCAAGATCATAATCATACCCGCGTTCCTGGCCCTGGTATTTTGAAAGCTGTGGTTCAGTGGATGCAACTTGTCTGGTCACGATAGGTGCCTTTCCATCTGGACTGGATCTTTGGAGAAGTGGGATTGTCAGCCAGGAAGTGGGGTGGAGGCAGGGGAGAGGGTAGTGACTGCCTCTTTGCCACAAAGCATAATTCTTCCACTTAAGAGAAAAAAAGTAGGCAATTTTTTTTTTTTTTTGCATATGAACTCTCCGTTTCCGTGGTAGATGATTTCAGCCCTTGTCTTGGACAAGATGCAGGAGCGTGGGTTTTTCAGATCAGGATGTTCTCTAGATCCATCTTAATCTTCGCGCTGTGCTCTCTCTGACAGCCTTGCGCTCCGTTTGTATTTTATCGGGCTGCTGTCCGGCAGGGCCGCCCACGGAAAGCGTTTGAAAGTTCAGCTGGTCCAGGACGCGATGGCTTAGAGGAAACTTGGAGTTCCTTGTTGCAGCCACTTCATTTTCGCCCCAGCCAGTTTTTGGATATGCTTTAGATTAATTTAAATCAGTGTTTTTCAACCTTGGCCACTTTAAGATGTGTGGACTTCAACT